TTTTCACCCGTATACAATTACTTCATTATATGAATCTTCATGTTTTTTGCTACCTTAGAAAAAGCCATTTATATCTTCAGATGCCACAGGTCGCCTTCCATGTTTCTACAGTAGCCCAGAAGGTCAAATCAAACACTGGCTCTCGATAGGAAAATTCACATTTTTCTCCCATTTTCACAGCCACTGTAGTTTTTCCTCACTCTTGGAAAGGGAGGGTGAAGCGAGGGTGCTGTGATCTGTTACACCACTGTTAGATGCCACTAAATCCTACACACTGGACCTTTAAATATTAGGTATTAGGTTGCAATTATTGCTGGTAAAACACAAAACTTACAATGAATGTAACTTACAAACAAATATTGTGACATGTTCCTTCACTCACTCTGTGGAATACCCATTGCAAAAAGGCTGATACCCAGTACACTAGCATGAGCAACGGCACACCACAATGCATTGTATCCTCACAACATGTGTTTTGAATAAGGGCAGTAGGAAGTCTATAACTGCAGTAGAAGAGAACGTTTGAGGGAAAGTGGGTTCATCGAAAAGGAAATGATAAAAGTTGATCAAAAAATTCCTCTGGAAATTCACTGGACATTGCAGACTTATGATGTAAAAAAGGAATCTGAGGGTCCATTTCCATTTAAAGCAAAATACATACTAATTTATTGGTTGTTTCAAAGAATCTACAGGCGATACTGCCAATGCTTTAACCAAGAATCAGTCTTATAGTTCTTTCATTAACATGATATCTAAGTGTCCAAACTGTCTAAACGTAACAACAGCGAATCTGGACGATAGGAAGTAAGTCATAAGTGAGTGTTTACATGAGGAGACAGATAAAGTTTCAATTTAAAGGGTGTGCTCTCATTGAAAAAACAGGGACAAAGGATTGCTTACACTGAGAGGATTTATAGTGCCAGATTGGAGAGGGGATGTACAATTTTTCATCAACAAATACCTCGTTATCGTCCTTCTTAGTCTGCTAATCCAGTATACCATCTGAAAATAAGACACAGCCGGCAGTGGAAGGTGATATAAACCATCCGGTCATCGGCTTAAATCTCTTATCTTTGCTGGCACAGAAACCTCATCTGGTGAGAGCTCAGGCTCTATGTCAGGCTACAGGATGGCTTACTGGTGATTTCGTTGTTACTTATGATTATTAATGAGCGCACTTCCTCAGGAGAATTATAGTTATCAGGCAAATCATGCTGTCTTTTGTTTAAGGTTTTTTTTTTGGCGCCTTTATTTTTTTCGACATTATTTGGTAGCGGTAGAGAGGGATGGCTGCTTAAGAGAAGAGCAATACGACTTGAGTCAAAATGTCCCAGGTCAGAGTTGAATTCAGGACATCACAGTGACTTGGCTTCAACGTTCAGCCAAGTTAAAAGATGTATTTTTCTAGGGAGAGTGGGGTGATTTTAATAACACACTATTAATTGCAGTCACATCTGAAGCAACACCTGGTGTTTAAAACTCTTACTGATACTTAAACACTTTTTACCCATACTAGCAGAGCAACTGTAGGGATGGCTCTGCTGGTCTGTCAGTCACCGCTTTGGTCCAGACTGAAATATCAACTATAACAACTATTGGACATTCCTGGTGCCCAGAGGATTAAAACCTACTGACTTTGGTGATCCCCTAAATTTTTCAAAGCACCAGGACCAACACAGAGCCGCTATCATGGCTGTAGACTCTTGGTCTTGTTTCCTTATGTTGGTGAGTGTACTTTTTTTCAAAACATTTAACAAAATAAGCCAATTTTAGGCTAAGCTGGCTATATTGGAAGATGACGTCCCCCATTTTGATCCCATCTTCTACCAACTGTGTCAGGTCTGTCTGGTTTAAAGTGAATTTGGATTTTGACTCTCTATTCCTTGCCATGGACAAAGATGAAAACCAGATACTGTAACTATTAACTTCTCCAGTTGCCATCTTGTTTGGGTCAAGAGATGGAGACGCACCATGTGAAATGAATCAAGTTGCAAACTGGCAGACTCTGAACCGTTCAGAAACTCAGTGATGTGCACTAATACATCAACACCATCTTGTCAAACTCATCCAGTCCTGACAGGGTTTATTCAGCCCACAGAACCTGAACTGTAAATATTGTAAAATCATGCCGAGGTTTGATGCTACCCCTCCCCTCTCCCCTCACCTGGTTAGAGAAGGGTTCAGAACGGGGCTGAAAGCTCCACTTGCTAACGAACAAAAGCATCTGATTAACTTTATAAAGGAGGGGTGCATGTGCCTTTTAACTGCATCCCCCCTGTTGTGTCTCATTGGCCACTCACAGCCCGGCGCAGCTGTGACCTAGATCTACTCGATGGGAACCCAGGCCGGCTCTGATGTCACCTTTGCTCTCACGGTTCCCTGGCCAATCGCTGCACCCGAAGACATCGACATGATGGGGCAAAACAGAAAGGAAAACCCAGGGACTCAGGTTTTATTGACAAAAGCAATACCCAAACAGTTAGCTGTTAGCCCCTCCTCTTCACTCCAGAGAGAAAACAGGCACTTTGTAAATCCCGCTGCCCTGAATGCCACAGACACTGAGGCCTGTCGAGGCCTGTGTAATCACTCACTCTTTTGTCAACAACAGGGGAACAAATTGACAAAACTACAGATTAGACTTTCCCGTAAAAAATGACCAGCAGACATAACAAAGTTGTCACCACAGGTGCAACATGATTCTCATAATGTGTTCCTAGAGAAACGGTCATTTTTCATGTGTGGAAACCTGGGGCCAGATGCATAACACTCTGTGTAGATTCACAACTTAAACTGTGTGTACGCCTAGTCTCAAGTATGCGTGAGGTGCGCACATTCTCACCACACATTCTTCCTTTGTAAATATGATTGTATGTATGGGGAAAGGCGCACGCGTGGTTTTTGCGCGTACACATCGCTCATACATCTGACCTCTGGTTTTCAACTCAACAGATCGCTCTGTCGACAAACACATGTCATAACACTACAATGGCCTGACTCCTGATTACTGAATTAAACTGTGGGCAAGTATCACACAAAACACACAGTGTGGATTTAATTAATCAATCATGTTAACTGATTGTTATTTCAAGATCAGTCTATATGATCATTTTGGGTGTTTTTCCCTTGTTTTATATCATCAGTTTTTATTCCTCAAGAGGTATAGCTGAAAAAATAGATTAGAGGAAATCCATGTTCGTTCTCCATGTTTACAGTGTGTGTGTGGAAGCCAAGTGGCAAAAACAATAGCCGGGATGTTGTGAGGCATCACTGTCAAACCCGCCCATTACCGTGCTGATAATGTGCAGTTTGATTGGTGTGACAATGTACTCTTTGATTGCATTCAAATATTCAATTTTACTATATGCCTTAGAGTGGATGGGAACGATTAAAACATGTTTTTACCGTAAGTGTTAATCTTGAGGGGAGTTATTCGAGACTTAAAGGGAATATGGGACAAGGGCGTAAAGTGGGGAGGCCAGTGGCCCCTTGGACCCAATACACCTGGTGCCCTTGCCTCCAAATAAATAGTTTGATCAACTTCAAGATTCTTTACTGGACATAAGAACAACACAGGTCTGTTGTTTTTTCCTGACAGACAGATGTACCAGATTGTGCTGTTTGTTTCTCTGTAAAGTCCTTGTCACAAAATAGCCATCTTATATAATTAACTTTGTTGCAAACCCTCACTGTGATTGGTCCATGCTTCAGGGACATACCAAACATTATTTACTGAAGGCTACACGTCAGGCTGCTATCATACCTTTCAATAAAAACACTTAAAGTATTCACTGGAACTATTTACTGCATACTTCTCTGTAACTGTTTATCTAAGCCATCTTTTTGTTTGGATAATTTAGTTATGTTTTTGTTTACATCTAAACAGGACGTTCCTGTGAAAAATCCATGCTAAACCAGCCTAATCAGTGTTGTGTTGTAAATGCTGCTGCAGAATGAAGAATGCCTATAACACAGACGGATTAGGGCTGTGGTAAATATAGTCCAAAATTATTTGAAATATTAGAATGAAAAATATAATAAAATAAAATATAGTGAGTTGCAGCATGTAGTCAGGGCTACAAAACGGGAACAGACCACAGTAAGACTAATACATTAAACCACCACAGGCTGTGACAGTGTAACGCGTGCCACTGACGCCGTCATGACGGGTCCATATGGAGGACCCCTCTCTTTTATGGTGTTGTTGACAAAATGCCTTTAAGACCTGTTATTACTGCTTCCTGCCCTGCAGACAGGAGAACTCAGCAACCTTTATTTTATTTTTTTCTCTCCTCCCCAGAGATCAGACCTGGCTGCACTGAGGTAAAACCAAAACACTCTGCTGTCATCCTGCATGCATGTGGAGGAGAAGACGTCAGATTTGGGCTGCAAAGTCATCATGACTGCTTCCAGTGCTGCTGAGCAGACAAGAAAATAAGTGATGATAGTAATTTCTTCAAAGTAAGAGCAGCTCCCGGGCTAATGACAGTGACAGGTCAGCTCCTGTGCGCGCGTAAAATAGCCATTTTCTTAATTACAATATAAGTGTCATTGGTGCTGATGAGTCCGAAGAAAGAGCGTGCTCGTGCGCGCGTGTGAAGAGGTTGCACAGAAAAATGCAGATTTACTTACAAAATATAAGACTCATTCTTCATACAATAGGGTGGACAATAAGTGTTTATCTGGGAGTGACTCATTCCGCTCCAAAGTCAAGAAAACAAGTGCCAAATATTGATATGTGTGTGCATGTGCCTGTGTGTGTTCACGGGCTGGGGGTGCGGGGGGGGGGGACTTGTAGCAGGAGAAAGAATGAAGAAAGTCAACACTGCAGATAACTTTCAAAATACAAAAGAATGCTTAATCCCCCATGCATGCAACAAGTTAAACCAACCTGACTCATTCTACGCCTAAATCAAGGAGTTTCCAAACGTATGCAGAGCAAAGGTTCCTGTTCGACTCTGCATCAAGTAGAAAGGGGAAAAAACAAGCGTCCTTTAACTCACCGGTGCCACTTTGTACCTGCTGGATCCCCGCACTGGAAGACAAAGCGTGCTCGGGAGGCACTGCAGCGCAAAGACGCAGCAGCACACGACCAGAGAAGTCCGCATCCTCACCGCCGTCGAGAGCCGTGGTGGTGCACAGGCAGGCTGGTTTTGGCGCAGCTGAGTGCGATGCGCAATGCCGGGAGTCACACGGCTGCAGGATCTGGGGCGACTTCTCTTTAAATAGACTCAGATTTCTTTGTTCTCCTAAGGTTTTTTTCTCCACACTCTTTTTTTTTCTTTTTTTACAGCCCAGGGCTGATAATACCACCCGTTTCCATGTGACTCTTAACCCTTTCTCTGCCGCGTGCCCGTCAACTCAACACAGGATGGTGGCTCTGCGTTTTAACCCACCTGTGATGGGAGAAACCCGATGTTAACTTTTAGCAGGAAGACATTAGTTATGCACCATATCCCACATTAAATACCATAGACACCATGACACAGCCTGTACAGGCAGGCACACTCTAGTGCCTATGGGAATATTATAGGATTATTATAAGAGTATTAAAGACACAAAAGTCCTAACTAGCCTACCACAAAACACACTACAGCTCTATTTAAATCCTTTTCATGAGGAGAAACACATTTAGTCAATGTTAAGTACAACCTGTGAATTAAAGGAGAGTGATTTTTGTTTTCCATATTGGTTTAACAGCGATACTGAGGTCATGAATGCAAGTTCCCATGCTCCTTTCTCAGAAACAATTAACCAAAGAACATAAATAAAGTCTCAAAATTATTTTAAATTTTTTTTATTGCATTATTCTCTAAAAGGAACAATGGACTTTCTTTATTGTTGATTCTGGCAGCCCTTGTGGACACAAACGGTAGTGTTTCTACTGCCTTGTTTCACTGATTTTGATTCCGAGCCAGAGGCAGGCATTAAGAATAACTGTAGAAATAGCTAATCTTCTCACTGATGGTCTTGTTTGTTTATGTAGGTCATATAGAGGCGTCAGTATTACACTGAGCTTGAGACTCAGTTGAAGCAAAATAACAAATGGGTTTATTATTAGCTTATTATTTCTGTCAGAATTTTCTCAACCCATGGAATACTTCTTTCTTAAAATTAGCTACAAATTACAGCTCACTATATTTGGACATACATAGTTTTCACAAGTACAGTTATTTTTGGTAATTTATGACTCAAATAAATACTGGAATAAGCCTTTAGAATATCCATCAATGTAGGATGTAAACTTCCCCCGGCTACCAAAAGCAGACAAAATAATCTTGATGTTAACAGTCGATATCATTTACATGTCTGTGTCCTGCTAGTAGCGGCTAATATAGCCTCCAGCCTCCAACCTGCAGCAGAGTTGAAGCGCGAGCTAGAGGTCTGATGAGCTCATTTCTTTCTAACTCCAACAGATTTTTTTCATTTTCAAACTTGTAGTTCAGCCCCCACCGATGCCGACGCAAGTGACGTCACTTGCGGACATTTATTAAACTTCACACAGCTCCTTCTGGAGTGACAAAAAAGGCTTTATACAATTGTTTTTCACATGCAGTAGTACTCCCCAACACTTGTAAACGACTTTGATGAAAAAAAATTGGTGGCGTTCCCTTTAAGTGCAGAGCCGGAGAGGATTAGCTTAGTTTAGCATAAATACTGGAGGCAGGGGGGAACAGACAGCCTGGCCCTGTCTAAAGACCAAAAATACACCTCTAAAGCTCGCTAATTAACATGTTGTACCTTGTTTGTTTAATTCATAGACAACAAGAAATGTAAAAATGACAATTTGTGGTTTTAGTGGGCGTCACCGTGATGTTGCTATCCAACCAGCTGAGACGCTGCACAGGAGCACTGGGCGGATGGATAAATTGTTGTCGCTCAAGTTTCAGCACACAACTCCCTCTGAAATGACATATTGTCCTTATTATCCTTTTTTTCATATCTGTTATTGTATGGATTAAACAAACAAGATATAACGTGATTATTGTGGGCTGTAGATGACAGATTGTTGAACTTTGAGCAGAGGCAGGCTACTGTTTCCAGTCTGCTACCAACCACCTCCACACTACATCTCTGTACTTAATGCACAGACGTTAGATTGATCCAATATCATATATTCAATTAAATATTGATAAAAAGAGGAATAATTATGATGGTAACTGACATAAAAGGGGAGACGATGCGTTGTGAAGTGTAGTTTTTGAGTGTGTGTGACAAAAAACGAAAGAATAAAAGTTAAAGGGAAGGCATCTGATTTGTTTTTGCAGCTGTAGGTAAAATGCAAACACTCCAGAGTTGGACCCACTGGAGGTTTCCGACCAACCTCTGTCCCTTTGTGCAGGAAAAACTCTCTGTGAGTCAGTTTGAGATCATTTCTATAATTACAACCACTAATAGCAGTAAAGAATTTAGCTGAGCTTTCCTGTGTAATGGCTGTCAGGTTTCTGAAGGCTATTTGGACACAAAAAAGGGCTCTAATAAACTCTGATTGCCTGACAAGGAATTGCAAGCTCTGCACCACATCAGGCCTGTTATCTTATACGTGTAATGAAAGAGAAAAGGGAAATGCTTTATAAGAAAGTGACACTTCTAATTTCTGGACAGGAGACTATAATTAATGTTACTGGATGCAGATGTGTTACGAGTTAAAGCTGACACTGGATTGGTCAGATGTCAGTAGATTTTGGCCTTCACCCTCTTATTTGAACTGTTTTATGTGTTGGGTGATACAGGCAGACACAAAATAGTAACACAGTAACCTAACATAGCAGTAATAAAAATTAGAAGAACCAAAGAGTATAATTTATTAATTGTTTCTATTTCCAACAGTTCTATAGCATATGGATTTGTTTCAGAATTAGATTTATGGAAAAAAAGAACCTATCAACAACTCTAAAACTCTGAACTAATTAACATGTTTCGTCTTGTTTTTTGAATATACACAAACAGAAATGTAAAAACTATCATTTGTGATTTCAGGTGGCGTAACCTGTATCGGGACGATGGTACCAAAACTTTACTGTGATGATAAGACTTCAGGAAGCTGCTCACTGTTACTGCAAAGACTGTTCACCATTAGATGCTACCTAACTCTTCCTAGAACCACAAATTCTTGTTTTTATGCTTGCGTACGGATTAAACAAAGCAGATACAATGTGTTTATGAGCTCTAGAGGTGTTGGTAGACATTTTTGTCACTTTGGTCCGAGGCCGGACTAGCTGTTTCCTCCTGCTTCCAGTTAGGCTAAGCAATGCTAACCACGATCAACTCCCCTGTATTTAATGCACGGCCACAAGAAAAGAAAAATGTGTTCCCCCAGATGTTGAACTATTCCTTAATCACACTAGTTAGACCACAAATTTGCAGCACAACATTTTATTTTAGGAAAAGTTACTATAGGTGTTAGCCGGCTGTCTCTAAGCAAGTTAACTAGTAGTAGTTAAAGGAGTCATTTATGTTTTTATCTTTGTATTATTTTTGTTATAAAGTTTACCAGCTCTCTTTCACTCCACCCGTTCAGATGAAACTCATCCAATGAGAACTCAGACTCAGATCTACTGTGTTTCTATCACGCTCTATATATTTTTATTGTGTTTGAGAGAAGAGTGTTCTTGATCTCCAGGTCTGTTATTTGACTCAGAACATTTAAAAAACTCTTTGTTGTCTTAAGAGACACTGCTCTTGTAACTCTAAAGTAACCTGCGCTGCACTGGCCATTGTCATCACGTGAATTATATTAACAGCCTATCTCATGTTCCCCACAGATGGTCCCAATACATTTTCCTCCTCAGTACTTTTTACAAGTGGTGGCAGTGGTCCAACACATGACAGCAGCTCTCAATTAGAAAAGAAATATGCTTCAAAGTCATGATCCAAGGCGCTGCCAAGTCCAATAAATATATATAGGAATCTATGTAAGTGACACCGGTGCAGGGATGCTGAAAACTAACTGGAGCTTCACATAACATGCTGATTATGTCATTTAAAGCTCAAAAGGACATACCTGGGAAACCCATCCAAAGTAATTGTTACAGATTTAGTATGCTGTGACATGAGTTTTATGAGCTAAACATTGTAAAAACAGTGTGAAGTGCAGTAAGATGCAGTTTCTTTAATGGCCACTGCTGCCATTATATTAACCTAGATGATCCTCTGCTTTTCTGTAGAAATGCCAAATCAATATATATTTTTTGTTTGTGTTTTGGTCTCAATAGTCCAAAAGACCAGAAAAACAACGTTTCGGATGTAACACATCTCTTACGAAATAACAATCAATTCACAGATGCTACATCTATAGACATAATATATAAATAAAACTGTGGCCATAACTCAAACCCACACCGTTGGTACATGATCTGGGGGGGGGGTCCTATGTTTCTGTGTTAAAGGCACAGTATGTAATTGGCTGATAGGGGTTTCTCGCAATAACAAAAGACACAGTTTGATGACATTGTGAAGTAGCGTGGAATCATGGGAGATTTATTCATTTTTTAACAACTACTGCAGATAAAAATCTATCTGACGTGGCTCAGGCACATGTATTAAAGTTTCATACATGTTACATTGAGTCACATTCGTCGACTTCCTTCCTTACTGTGTTTCCCTGGAAGTTCTAGCAACTAGAGGGGGCAAAGGGGACATGATGCCTTTGTAATTTTTAAAACTCTCCACCGGTTATCCTGCTAAAATGCTAAATGCTACACACTAATACATTAGAGTGTTAATGTATCAAAATTAAATTTTGAACACTGAAGCAATGTATTCCACCAATGTTGAAAATATTTTATGAGCAGACATTTTAGGCTAATTTCTGCACTCACTGCCAGAAAACATAAGCAGCACTTTGGTATATATATCTAGGATTTAACTGATCACATACTGAACAGGAGAAGAGATTCTGAGTTTTATTTCAACTTTTGCATTAGCACACACATTGATCCCTTCATATAGTATACTGGTCATACTGAAATATGAACCTCACAATGGTTTTTTTCTCCACACTTGATACTGCTTAGATTATGGTCAAACCCTTCATGTATAAACCTAGATTAACCATTCAATGTCCACGAACATATCTTTATTATTTCAAAGCTAAATAACATAATATCCCAATCTGACACCTACAAGTTCCAGGCCTATACAGTCCTTCTTTTACCATCTCTTTGTCCAGGTCAAATCAAGCTGAAGATCTTTTCACATGAAAAGATTCTGAGGTTTCCATCTGGTCCCAATGTAGCAGCTGTTGGTCCGATATAAGGGGAATCTTTGGTCTGTTTATCACATGCCCAGATTATCATAATGGAGCTCGGTGTTTTGCTTTGGTAAAAATGCAAAAACCATAAAAAAGTCACACAACAAA